AGATTTGACTAGGGTCAAAATGTATATACATTATTATGAATGAAACTCACATATATCTAGGAAAAATGTAAGTGAGCCAAGTGATTAATGGGTTGAGCCCAAGATGCAATTCCTTATTATGAATAGTCAATGTCACGATCCAATCAATTGAATAGTCAATACCACGTCGACGTATATGAAATCCTCGCCATAATGCTCATGCCATGTAATATATAGATATAAGAACTAATAATATGTATTTTTTATATTGCACCTACTCATTCTTTTCATTAAACTCTATATTTTTAAAGTAAAGCTATATGTAAATAATTATTTATAGATTGATGACACAACATTATATTAAAAATAAACTTATTTTCCTCTCTCTCTCTCTCTCTTCCAAACTATTTTTTTTTCTACCCCAATCTGTAAATAATTATGTATAAGTAGCATTACTGAAATTTTTATTAACTCTTGGGTTGAACTGAAAATTTGTCATATTCAAGATCATCTCCAATGAGGAACATCAAATTTGGTGTAATTTGATGTAATAGACCATTGGAGACGGTTTTGCTCCAAATTTTATTTTGAATTGTTTAATTACAAATTATATTAAAAATCATTAAATTAAAACTTATATGCAATAAACTAAAATATTGCAATTATTAATAAATAAAAAAATATATTAAACATAATATTGCAATCTAAAAGATCACATTGAGCACATAAGAAAAATTACACATAACAAAAATAACAACTCGTTGAAAAATTGCATGCCACAATTATTATTGCTCAATAATTGGTTAAAATTTAAAAATAAAAATAACCATCACATTAAAAAAATTATAAATCAATTACAATATATTAATTTTAACATATATAAGAGTAGGGCTGTTAATGGATTGGATTTTGATTCAATTCCGATCCGAATTTGATGAAATTAAGGAGAGAAGGATTTCGGACATTAGTTCGATAACCCGATCAAGATTCGAATTCGATAATCCGTTAACTAAATTAAGCATTTATGGATATAGGTCAATCCAATCTGATTTATTATAATAATATAATATATTTTATATATTATTGCATAATTTATTACAAATAATTTTTTTTTTTATTTTGAAACTTGTATTATACTTAAACACAATTTCCAAATAACTAATAATATTAGAATAGTATAATGTTGTTAATTGAAATGAGATTTAATTTTTAATTAATTAAAATAAGATAAAAATAACCATTAATTTATTTTATAAACTAAACAATCAAAGGAGCCAACATTGGAATTGCTTTCATTATTATCAGCTTATTACTTACCATATCGGATATTCACTAGAATATTATAAAATTTACAATCTACAAATAAGTGGGCCAAGAATTGGGTAAAAAGCTATCTAGACCTTTTAATTCTAGGGTTAGAAGTTGACTAAAATTTTTATTTTTCTAATTTTTTAAATTTCAGATCGAGTTATCGAATCGAATATCTGATAACACGACGAATCGGATATGGATTTAACAATCAAATATTAATTGGATTATCGAATCGGATCTAATAAATAATTTTCTTAACGGATCGAATCGAATTTGGACAGATCGATCCATTTACAACCCTATAAAAGAGAGATAGATTAAATAAACATTTTGTTGTAAAGTGGAAAGAAATGCAAAATAGGGATATTGAAAATTCTCGAATTTGGTGTAAATGAATTAATGCTATTCATTACACCATATTTTGCAGTAAGGTGCTCCTCATTGAAGATGCCCTAAATTGTATGATTCACTTCATGATCTCTTTGGCTAATCTATAAGGTGTGAGAGTTTCCACGTGATTTCAACTTTGATTAACCTATAAGGTATTAATATTAAAACATTTTTAAATGAATCATGTTATTTGTGCAATTGGGGTTAAGAACGTTGATTGTAAACTAGTAAAATTGTTTTTAAATTAGTGGTTTTCAATTCACGCCGTTTAAACTTCAATACAACTACCAGGTAGAATTCAATATTTAATTATTGTCAAAGAAAATTGTGGAAGAAGATGGGTGGGCCATCATCTCCACAGATACCAAATAATGGAATAAAGAAAAGAATTCGACTCAAATTCGACCCGTTCTAGGCTCCCGTTTGATCCTATTAAATTACATTTTATTTTTCTCTTTTCTATTTTCAACTAAACAATCTTTCATAAAATAATATTCTGCGTAAATCGAAATTTTTTCCTTCGTTTTTAACAATTCATTTTTAAAAAAATACTATTCCTCTTATTTTCATTAAAAAAAAATATCAGTCAAACGGGCTAGTCTCATCTTTGAATTCAGATTTTTGACTTCCTCCTCTTTGAATTATTCTGGAATTTATTGGTAAAAATAGTGGGGCGGCTGCCTTCGTTACCGTCTTGAAAGAGAAAGAGAGTTTCTGGGCATACGTGTTGGGATAATTCTAGTGGAGCTTAACCTTCCAGATCCTTCTGTTTTGTTTACCTCATTTTTAATATTCCTCATCTATCCATTTTCTCCTTTGATAATATTTAAACCACAATAATTCATTCTTCACCACCCTTTTCACGATCCACAGCCCTGCATTCTATTTTGATCTGCCAACAGATTCTTGATTATTCTGTTTTCTCGTTCTTAACAAGGAAGGGTAAGATCAATTAAGGCTTCTGATCATTTTTTTATTATTCTTTTTCAGATTGATCATGTCTTTTGTTAATGGTTCAGAAATTATAGATCTTTTTTTGTTTCCAAGTCTTTTTCATTTTTAAGATATGTAAAGGTGGAGACTTTCCAAAGGAGCTTCATTTAGCCATTGACATCACTGAATGTGTAGTTTCTGACGAAAGAATGTTGTTTGTTGTAGATTAGAAAATGGACGAAGCAGACGCATCAAGATACTGGTGTCATGTGTGTTTACAGACGGTGAATCCTGTAGTGGATATCGAGACAATAAAATGCCCGATTTGTCAAAGTGGATTCATAGAAGAAATGGCATCTGCCGATGCCCCAGGAAATGATGATTTTGGACATGGAGGGTCTGATTCTGACCGTACCCTCTCCATCTGGGCTCCAATCCTGCTTGGTATGATGAGTAATCCTCGTCGCCGCCATCGCAGTAGATTCAGGCGCATGGAGTTTGAGGATGACGACTATGAAGATGGCAACGATAATAATAACAGTCAACGTGAGGGGGATATGGAGCTGGATCCTGCATTAGATTCCCTAACAAGGAGGAGAAGCTCAGCTGCTGTTATCCAGCTCCTCCATGGCATTCGAAATAGAATGGTATCTGAGTTGGGAAATTCTCAGAGGGATCAAAGAGACACAGATAGAGATGATATTAGGGATGGAGAGAGTGTGATTTTGATTAATCCATTTAACCAAACTATTGTTGTTCAAGGTTCTCATGATTCCAATAACGATTCCCTGGATCGTGCACCAATTGGCTCGCTAGGTGATTATTACATAGGTCCTGGTTTAGAATTATTGCTGCAGCATTTGGCAGAGAATGATCCGAATAGGTATGGTACACCACCTGCTAAGAAAGATGCTGTTGAAGCATTGCCTACTACTAAAATTGGGGAGACATTGCAGTGTTCTGTTTGTTTGGAAGACTTTGAGGTAGGGGCTGAAGCAAAAGAGATGCCTTGTAAGCACAAGTTCCATACTGAGTGTATTCTGCCATGGCTCGAGCTTCACAGCTCTTGTCCCGTCTGTAGATATCAATTACCTTCCGATGAATCTAAGGTTGATTCAGCAGGGTCAAGAAATAACAGTAATATCATCAATGTCAATAACAACAGTGGTAACCTTAATGGTGGTGGCGGCGATGAAAGAAATGAAGAGGGGAGACGGTTTTCAATACCCATTCCATGGCCTTTTAGTTCTTTATTTTCCTCTTCCACTTCCCAATCTAGAAGTGGAAATTCATCCTCAACATCTCCATCAGGGTCATCAGCAAATGCTCCTTCGACCACCTCAAATACACCAGATGACAACTAAGTTAGCAAGCGATGCTATTGTTTTATTGTGCTCTAAGGTGCATAGATGTTCAGTAGTCTTGCCTTTGTATATGGTAATATATTCGATACCTGATTGTAGTTTTTTAAAGGAGATTGTGTATTCGTGTTTCTGTGACGTTTTCTTTATTACTGGTTGAAGATGATTCACTTCGGCATTTTTTATTTGAAGAGTTACTCGAATTGCTTGTTTAATTTTTCTTTGTGCAAATAAAGCTGGCAAACCATTTATAATCTTGGCTCCTACGGAAATTCCTCCACTTGGAACATAAGAGATTAGTAGTTAATGAAGAATGAGCAATCTGAAAGAAGAAACTCTTACGCTAAGCATTCATATTGCATCACTAGCATGTTTGCTCAACTCCACTGGAACTGAGCGGTTATACACAACTATGCCTTTTTCTTTGTAACAAGGCAAAAAACGTAAATAAGATTGTGCCATCTATACGGTTCAAGGTTAGGCTTTACATACACAGTCAACATTTTGTAGTACCTGCAGATCATATTCTCATCACCTTTGATGCTATAATCAGTCGAAATCGTGATTTCTTGGCCCTGTTTCTGTTTGATAGGTTTTCCATCTGATTTCTGACCCTGTTTTGCACGACAAGGTTCAGAAAACTTGGAAATAAACTAGAAACTAAAAATTGACTTGGATACAAGATTAGACCAGTGAACCAAAGAATGCTACTGCGTTTTTCACAAAAGAAAAAAAATGTCTGCTACTAGCCAAATCATTCATTTAACAAAGCCGACTTCATATTATCATAAAAATATGGAGTCCATGTTCACAATTTCTTTGGTAATAATGATATTTACTCGAGTTTAACTTTTTCAGCTAATGTAGCGTTCTCCCTTGTTTCTTTCGGAATATAGAGCAAAAGAAGTTGAGCCAAAAACCTTTTTCACACCTTGTTCAGGGATTCTTCGACGGTTACATATTCAATTTCTGTTTGCTGGACATTATTTCACATACAAGCGTTGAGAGTACGTGAGTTTAGCGACCACACAGGACATCAGTATTGTAGGGGCACCAAAAAATTTTCGGTTATAAGTGTATATATATGTTTAATAATATATTTGTAATGTTTTATTAATTTTATAATTTAAAATTTTATTATTATGTTAAGTTAAATGGCACAATATTTATGGAAAAAAATAAAAAGATTTATATTACGTTGATATATATTTTTTTAATTTAAAGTATTATTGAGAGAAATCATTTATTTTTCTAATTTTATATTATCTTGCCTTCAAAATAAATAAATAAATTTAACTATGTATTTTACTTGCCCAATCAGAAATGTCCAATTAGCTCCATTAATCAATTACCAACTCAACAAGACAATAAGTAATCCAAAATTCTAATGATTACAGTGAAGTAGGGATGGTAATTGGGCTTGTCGATTTGGACCACTCGTGGCACAATCCAAAAAAAGCTTGAGCATGTCCAGCTCGAGGCTCGGGCCGAGCCCCATTTTGGGATGCTTGGCAAAGCTCGAGCCGGCCTGTGTGGCTCGCTAGCTCGACCTCATGGACCTATATTTGAAGGAAAAAAAAAAAAAAAAAACATTTTAAAGGCAACAGAGGCTGCCTTAACTTAAAATAATAATAATAATAATAATAATAATAAATAAATCGACCCAAAAAAAAGCTCGCTTATTTTACAAAAATCGAGCATGAGCTTCGAGTTTCGACTCGCGAGCCAACTCATTGACATCCCTACAGTGAAGAGTGAAGAGTGAAAAGTTAATATCATATCCATTTTCGTCATTTCCCTCTATCCTACCCTTCAAACCACAAAGAACAGTTAATGAAGAAGAGAAGAAGCTCTACCATCAGTCTTTTTTACTTGCTCTATAATAGTAATATAGTAAAATCTAAATCATAACATCAACATTTTATTGGTGTCGATTATCCACTTGTTAATTGCTATTTCATAATTTTTTTGGTTCTAGAAGAATTTGTGGGCGATAACTGATTTCATTCAATTTTTCCCTGTTGAGTTTTCCCTTTTAAATTTGTCATTTGTGTTATGTGATAAGACAAACAGACATATAGTGACTCTTATTAAAAATGACAATGATATGAGCTATTGGGCTAATGCTTTAGCAACCCTTTATGTTGGAAATTTAGAAATTTTACTGGCTATGATTATATGGTATGAGATGCTGTTTGCTGTTAACGCTTACAATCTAGTGATATGTTTATTGATGTTGCCATTGAGATAGTGAAAGGCTAATTACTTTTTATTTTTTTTAAATAAATAAATAAAAATAAAGGAAAACTAGATTCAATGATGTGATAAATATCACTAAAGAAATTGCCATTTAAATGAAAATTAATCTTGAATTTCAAGTGAAATGTATAATTTGTAGGAAGAAACATTTTGATAAAATGCTACTTTAGAGAATGCAAATCACTTGAAGATTCTTTTAGGATAAATTATTTTCTTTAAATAGTAAATCAATCAATTGGATCACTTGAACGAAGGTTTAATCAAATCAATTCAATTCATATGCAAAAAATTTCGGGGTTTCTGTTTTCTTCTAACAAGTTAAACTCATTGGATATGCTAATTTGAAAGCATGTTGTAATTATCTTGACATTTATATAAGACGTAAATTTTTACGATCTTGATGGGAAAGATTTCAAGAGTTAAAAAATTTGCGTAATCTTTTACCAAAAGAATCAAAGATACCTTTTGATATATTGACTTATTTGAAAATGTTGGAATTTTTTCTGAATACATTTATTGCTTATAGAATACTATTGAAAATTCATGTTATTGTTACACCTATCAAAAGAGGTTTTTTAAATTGAAGTTATTAAGATCTTATTTGCAATCAACCATGTTACAAGAACAATTAAATGGGCTAGCTTTGATATCTAATGAACAAGAGTTGCTAAAACATATTGATTAAGAAAGTTTAACTAGTGAGTTAGCTTCTAGGAATGTGAGAAAAGAAATATTTTTAATTGATTAATTTCAAGGTTTACACATGATATTTGCTATTTTTGATTTCAAAGTTTTCTCATATGGAATTGCACGATGAAGTTAGCAGTTTGGATGGTTCTTTATTGATGACATATGAATTTCGATGAAATTCGAGAAATGCTTTTGAACTTTACTTATACTTTTTTTATTCACGACACGTAAAAAACTAAATAGACATTTGCATGTTTTATTTTTGAAAAAAAAAAATATTATTAAAATATCTTTTTTCTTATTACATGGAAAAGTGTACCATTATAAAATATTGTGAAAATTACGTAGAAGCAGATTTTTGAACTTCTCAATTCAAAAATAAAGTTTTAGAGTTTTTTTTATTCAAATATCGGTGATAATTCATCTTTTAAATATTATAATAATAACTTAAAATTAAATTAATCCTCACTCCCAAACAGATTCATTTACCTTCCTCACTCTCTCTCTCTCTCTCTCTCTCTACCATCTCTACCCACCTGTTCATTGACAGCTACAACTCCTTGCCCAATCTATCTGGTGGTGTTACTTAAGATCTACTCTCATGCAGCGTCGCCTTACTGCATGCAGCGTTGTTCCATTGTGCATAGTGGCACCTTATTGCGAGCAACGACGATGGCTTGCTGTTCCAAAAATATATTCTTTGTGCTTGATGTTCTTCATTTTCTTGCATTCACACTCGAGCTCTTTCAAGGCCTTTATTACTAAGGCAGCAACAGAGGGGACAACTATGACCTTGGCTTGGCGGTTCTGGAAATTGAGCTTAATGATGACGAGAAAGCCCTTCTAGTCCTTTGTAATTTCCTTAGCTATTTTCTCATCGATTTTCTTAGGTGACTATTCGAAGGGTTCAATTTTCGGAGAGAGGAAATTGTAGCTTCGAATTGTGGTAGTGGTGGTGGTGGCGATGGGTTTGGAGATTTTTGGGTGGCGGTTTTGGTGTGGTGGAAATAGAGATAGAGATGGTAGTTGGAAATTTTCAGTGAGTGTAGTGGTGCATGTGGTGGTTTTGGTAATATGTTTGGATTAGGTTGGGATTGGCTTGGGATGGTATAAAGAGGGTTTTTGATCGATGAATGAGTTAATTTGTGATCAATAAATAATATAAAAAGAATAAAATAGACAATTTGTAACCAAATGTGACTTTAAAAGCTTATTCATAGATCACAAGTCACAGGTTTTTTTATATATGTATTATATATGGTTACAGTTTGCATATCACAAGTCACAGATCATTGCGCATAGGTCATAGATCCATGTCCACATATCACAAATCAAATAGAATTGATCACAGATAACTGATTTATATTCATAGATTACAATTCATAAGTCCTTGGTCATATTGTATAGGTTACATATTTATGTCAACAAGTCATAGTTCAATATTAACTTGTCACGGATTAGATGCCAGAAATTTTGTGCACTAATAAGTCATCGATTCAAGTTCATAGGTAAAAATTCATAGATCACAGGTCACAAGTCATTTTACATATGTAACAGATCAATGTCTACATGTCACATATCCAAAAGAATTGATCAAGGCTATTTGATCGATATTACTGGTAATAGATCAATGTCCACAGGTCATAACTATATGATATCTATTCACGGACTATTGGATTAACATCATAGGTAATAATTTAAATCAAATCGTAAAAAGATTTACAGATTTACACTAAATCTGATGGTAAGTCAAGCATTGGAATCAAATTTTCATTCCATCGATGAACCTGTTCTCTACGGCAATTTAAATCACACCACTAAAAATCTCATTCCTTCAATCATTATGAAGCGAATTGATTGTCCAAATTGAAGTTTGATTAGATAATCCTTCAATTCTTGCCAATATTTTGTTGAGTTAAACATCCAAACAAGTTGTTATCCTTGAGATGTTGTACTCATGGACCTCGAATTATGCACCGTGATCTAGATTTGTGCTATCACTATAGTGTGAGAAGGGATGGTGGTTGGGTGAGTCTTTAGAGAGAATTTGGAGAGAGATTAGAGAGAGATTGAAGTGGGTCGAGATATATGGATTGATGATATTTATTAGGTATATAATATATTATTTTATATATAATATTTATTAATTATCATTTGAGTTTTGAATTTTCAAACATTTTCTCTTAAAATTGAACTGGGGCAAAGTTAAGGCCTAAGTTATGTATTCTTTCCTCAAATATTACAAGTTGCGCCT